AGCTCACTGTGTCAAATGTTCAAAAGTTTGTTTTCCCGCCAAAATCTGGTGCACGGAAGTGCCATTCAGGTTGCAAGCTTCAAGATCCTGAAGCTCGAGGACAGAAAAGTGTACAAAAGAAGAAGGCTGAGACCAGGGAGCTCATTGCAAGAGCACTGAATGTACAGCAGGAATCCACTCTGGTAGAGACACCAGTCCATCCCAAACTGGGTTTCTAAATAAAACATTCTCTCCATAACTCTCTTGTTCGGAAAAGTCACACTCCAAAACCAAAGGTCCAAAGGCTTCATCTCCTTGCAGGCAAGAATTAAGAATGTGGTGGTTTCATCTATTACTACTTCCTGTCATCGATGCACCTCCAACAGTTCTGAAAAACTCTGACACTTCCAGGCTTTCCGAAGTTGAAATGTGACGAAGCACGAACCAGCCTTTCCATTCGTCACTCCTGTGAGGTCCATTAAAATGTGGAGAGAAGATGACTCACACAAACACTCAAGCAAAGAAGGCAGAAAATAATCGGACCTTGCTCCAATCCACATCCATTTTACCCTGAGGACACCAGGGTACCTGCTACCTTTGACCAGGCAGACAGAAGATGGCAATTACATGGGAATTCACCTAGTGCCCTCAAATCCCCCTATTTTCTAAAGGAGGGCATCAAAAGCACATAATGTGCTCAGTTATTGCTGGTGATAAGACTAGTTTGGCATTAGACATGGTGGGGTTGAAATATAAACAAGCTGCAGACAGACTATCATCGCAAAGCCAGCAAGTATGAGATCCTTCGTAAGACAGAAGATATTAAATCACTGTTGCCTCAACCAAAAGCAATAACATATGATTGTGGGTTTTTCACTTCTGAAAAGTCACTCATTCCGTGTCTGTTTCCTTTTCACCACATAGTGCACCATTTTGTAGTGGACAAATTATATTCCATGGACAGTGCACTATATTATTACCCATAGTGCACTGTAAAACCAGTGTACAACCGACAGTGTACACTACTTCTGCAATAACTACCACAATGCATAGTAATTATTTTACTTCACAGGATGGATACCACACTGGCCAACTTTGTCTCCAAATGTAAATTAGTTGGTTTGAATATGTGTAATGATGACTAAAGTTAGGTTCCTGATTGGAGCAACGCAAAAGCGTTCACCCTGCTGTAAGGAAATCGTGAGTTCCAGTCAACGCACAGACATCTGTAGCCAGAACTCTAGGGAGAAAACTGGCCGTGCTCTCTGGGTGGGAGAGATGGCATACTCCCTCAGCTTTGTCATCCAGAGTGACTCTAACCAATCATAGTGTCAAATGTATGTAGAAGAGAGCAGACAGCGCTTTTTATTCAAGCATGTCATGCTGCCCTGTGATGCAGCAGGTCGAAAGGATGGGGCAGTGGTGGCCCAGTGGTTAAAGGCTTTGGGTTACTGATCAGATGGTCAGGGGCTCAAGCCCCAGCACCACCAAGCTGCCTCTACTGGTCCCTTGAGCAAGGCACAGTATCATGGCTGACCCTGCTCTCCGACGCCAACCTCTTAACAAGATAAGATATGCGAAGAAAAGAATTTCACTGTACTGTACACTGCCCTCCAAAAGTTTGGAAACGCCTGAACAAAATAGGGTTTTTGGGCAATATCAGCATAAATCCTCTTTAGTTAGTGACCATTTTGCATTGATAATAAGGGACAACACTAGGCATCCGAGCAGTCAGTTTATTCAAACATTGACTTGATATATTACTCCAAGCCTCCTGGAGGATTGCCCAAAGATGA